AGAGGGAGGGGGGGGGAGGGGGGCGGTGCAGAGCGGGAGGGAGGGAGGGAGAGGGAGAGGGAGAGGGAGAGGGAGAGGGAGAGGGAGAGGGAGAGGGAGAGGGAGGGAGGGAGGGAGGGAGGGAGCGAGCGAGAGAGAGAGAGAGAGAGAGAGAGAGAGAGAGAGAGAGAGAGAGAGACAGACAGACAGAGAGAGAGAGAGAGAGAGAGAGAGAGAGAGAGAGAGAGAGAGAGAGAGAGAGAGAGAGAGAGAGAGAGAGAGAGAGAGAGAGAGAGAGAGAGAGAGAGAGAGAGAGAGAGAGAGAGAGAGAGAGAGAGAGAGAGAGAGAGAGAGAGAGAGGCTCAAGCACGCACGCACACACACACACACACAACTCCTCCCGGGGAGGGCGAGGGGCCCAGCCACCTCCTCCGCCGCAGGGCGTGCGCAAGGTCGTCCTCGCAACAAACGTCGCCGAGACCAGCGTCACCATCGACGGCATCCGCTTCGTCGTCGACTCCGGCGCCGTCAAGGAGATGAGCTTTGACCCGCACTCGAGGCTCGAGGCGCTGCTGCCGTGCTGGGTCTCGCGCGCGTCCGCCGAGCAGCGCAAGGGCCGCGCGGGACGCACCGGCCCAGGCACGTGCTTCCGCCTCTACGCGCAGGCGGAGCTCCTCTCCCTGCGCGAGCAATCACACTCACACTCACCATCACCATCACCATCACCCTCAAACCCTCACCCTCACCCTCAAACCCTCACCCTCACCTCACCCTCACCATAACCGTAACCCCCCCCTACCCCCCCTCACCCTCACTCTCACCCTCACCCTCACCCTCACCCTTCACCCTCACCCCCGACCTCACCCAGGGGGAGTTTCTCAGCCTTCGCGACTACTCGCTGCCCGAGATTCTGCGCGCGCCGTTGGCCTTAACGGTGCTCCAAATTCTTTGCCTCCGAGTCCCCCAACACAGGGGGGTTTCCTTACTTTTTCCCGGTGGCCCGCTGGGGTTTCTTTGATAAACGCTCTTCGCAATCTTTCATGCGTCTCTGGGGGGCCCCTACTCCTAGGGGGGGGGCTTCCCCCTCGTTTCGGGCCTGGGGGCTTCCGCTGAAATTCTCCCCGTCGAACCCACACCCCCGGGAAAAAA